CTCTGATGCCATACTGGTGGGGAGAGAGTGTAAAACCATTTTACTGCTGGGTGGGCAGGAAGTCCAAATTCCCACATGGTCTCTGACACTGTGGCTGTAGTGGTGGGGTGCTTGTTACCTCCTGGTGGTAAGGAAATCCTAGTTTCCTACTTGGCCTCTCTGACACCATTCCACAAGGAGTGTTCAGGAACCTTATTACAGCTTGGCAAGGATGAAAGTCTGGGCTCTCCAATGGGTCTTTGCTGAGAGTGGGATCACAATTTTTTATGTGGTTTCTGGCTGTAGTATGGGAGGTTTGTCTGAAGGTTTTCCTATGCCTTCCTCTTTCCTGGTCCAGGTATGTATTTTTTTTTTTTGTATGTGCCTACTGGCATTTCTGGATTGCAGTTTACTTCAGCTCCAATACAAGGTTTTTAAGGCAAAAAGATAACCCAGGGAACTTCCACCATGTTGCTCCTTGGGTCCTGAGATCTTGAGCTAGTTTGTCTTCTTCTTTCTAAGATTCTTTCTGAATCTTCTATATTTTATAGATAGTTCTAGATTTTTAATTGTGATTACCAAGAAAAATATAAAAAAAGTACAACCGCTCCATTTTCCCAAAGTAGAAGCTTCTCAAGTTGTTATTTTAAGCTTTTCTCTAAATTCCAATGAGTCCATTTCTGTTGCATGTGGTTGATTTACCTTGGTTTTTGGTCATGTTGTCCTATTTCATCATATGGCTGGTTATTTGGGGTTGCTTGCCAGATACTATATACAGCAAACTTTAGTGATAGTTTGAGCCTGCATATATATTATTTTTGTCCAGAGAGGATTTGCCAATAGTAGGCAGCTAGAAAAATACTCTGAAATACTTTAATCACAGTTTCAGATAATTCTAAGTGGGGCTTTAGGCCATTTTAGGACTGTTTCATTTATGGTTTACCCTCACTCATAGAGTGGATCTAACTCAAGGTAAGAGTGGTGTGCCTGGCCTATGGAGTCCTCCTCCTAAGGCAGGCCATGAACTTTAACTCTTGTCTCACTAGAACTGTTACTTTATTGAAAGCTGTGCTCACCCTCTCTGTCTACTTTGTTAACTGTCAGACAGCTGCCTATTCTATACAGATGCTTCTGGTGAAATGCATCCCCTAGAAGACACAGGGCTTATGTCTCTTGATTCCCATCTTCTCCTAGGTATTTGCCCTGTAGTAGTTCTTGCTCTTGTTCTTCTTCTCCATCTTTGTTTTTATTTTTATTTTTATTTTTTGCATCAACAAGAATACTTTAACCTTTAAATCTGACATCAACAAAAGATGCCTGTGTCTTTTCCAAGTCTCTTAGGATAGGATTCACTTCAAGTATGAATAAACTAATTTCATGAGACACAGTGACATTCAAGTCCCCACATAAACACATATCTTTTTTTTTCTAGTTTTACTGCAAATAATTGGCATACAAGTTTAAGGTGTATAGCATGATGGCTTGATTTACATATATTATGATATAATTATCACAATAGGTTTAGCTAACATGCCCATTTTTTAATATAGATACATTTAAAAAAAGGAAAAAAAAGGAAAAAAAATCCCCTTAAGATGAGAACTCTTAGGATTTACTCTCAACAACTTCTATATATTGCATAGCAGTGTTATAGTCATTGTGTTGTACATTACATCCTTAGAGTACCTATTTATCTTATAGCTAAAACTTTGTACCTTTTCTCACTTTCCTCCAATTCCCCATCTCCCTACCCTCTGCCCCTGGTAATCATAGGTCTCATCTCTTTCTATGAGTTCGGTGTTTTTTATTTTGGTGTTGTTTTTGAGATTTCACATATAAGTGAGATCATACAGTATTTGTCATTCTCTGTCTGACTTATTTCACTTAGCATAATGCCTTCAAGGTCCGCCTATGTTGTTGCAAATGATAGGATTTCCTCATTTTTTAATGGCTGAATAACGTTCCATTATCCCTTCATCCAATGAAGGACATGTTTCTATATCTTGGCTAATGCTACGAACGATGGGGCTACAGATATCTTTTTGATTTAATATATTCATTTCCTTCAGATATATTAGCAAAAGTGAAATTACTGGATCATCTGGTAGTTCTAGTTTTTATTTTTTGAGGATCCTTTACTCAGTTTTCCACAGTAGTTGTACCAATTTATAATTCCACCAACAATGCACAAGCGTTCCCTTTTCTCCATATCCATGCCAACATGTTATCTCTTAGTCTTTTTGATGATGGCCATTCTAACAGGTGTGAAAGTAATCTCAATGTGGTTTTAATTTGCATTTCCCTAATGACTAGTGACGTGTATTCGTACATGTACTTGTTGGTTGGCCTTTTGTCTATTCAGGCCCTTTGACCATTTTTAAATTTTTTTGTTGTTATCAAGTTGTAGGAGTTATTTATATATTTTGGACAGTGACCTCTTATCAGATATATGGTTTGCAAATATATTTTCCCATTCTGTAAGTTGTCTTTTTTTTTCTTCTGTGTAGATGATTTCTTTTGCTGTATGGAAGCTTTTAAGTTTGATGTAATCCCATTTACATATTTTTATTTTGTTGTTTGTACTTTAGGTGTCATATCCAAAAAGTCATTACCAAGACCCATATCAAGGAGCTTTATTCTTATGTTTTATTCCAGGACTTTCATGGCTTCAGATTTTACATGAAAATCTTTAACCCATTTTGAGTTAATTTTTGTGAGTGATATAAGATATGGATCCAGTTTCATTCTTTTACATGTGAATATCCAATTATCCCAGCGCCATTTATTAAAGAGACTATCTTTTCTCCATTGGGTATTCTTGGCTCCTTTGCCAAATATTGGTCAACTGTACATGCTTCAGTTTATTTCTGGGCTTTCAATTCTGTTACATTGGCCTCTCTGTGTTTATGCCAGTACCATCCTGTTTTGGTGACTACAGCTTGATATCAGGAAGTGTGTTCCCTCCTGCTTTGTTCTTCGCAGGAATTCTTTGGCTACTCTGACTCTTTTGTGGTCCATATAAATTTTAGGAGTGTTTTTTCTACTGTAAAAAAAAAAAAAAAAAAAAAAAAAAAAAAAAAAAAAAAAAAAAAAGCTACTGTGATCTTGATAGGGATTGCACTGAATCTATATGGCTTTTGGTAGTATTTACATTTTAACACTATTAATTCTTCTAATCTATGAACATAGGGTATCTTTCCATTTATTTGTACCTTCCTTGACTAGAATTAGTGGGAAGTTGACTTTGGTTTTTGGATAGACTGAATTTGATATATCTGTAAGGTACTTAAGTGAAAGAGGTAAGAGTGGATACCTGATTCAAGATATTAGTTGTGAGGGGGGTGCCTGGGTGGCTCAGTCGGTTGAGTGTCCGAATTCAGCTCAGGTCATGATCTCACAGTTTGTGAGTTCAAGCCCTGCGTGGGGCTCTGTGCTGACAGCTCAGAGCCTGGAGCCTGCTTTGGATTCTGTGTCTTTCTCTCTCTCTGCCCCTCCCATGCTCATATTCTGTCTCTCAGTAATAAATAAACATTAAAAATTTTTTTTAAATAAAAAAAAGATATTAGTTGTGAAGGTAATTCCTAAGAGAAAGAGGATATATTAAGAGACAGGAGCTGAATATAAAAATATTAGCGAATGAAGATATATATAGGAGGTGAGTTAAGAGGAAAAACCCTTTAAGTAAATAGGTGACAATGCCAAGTAGGGGGGAAAAAAGCCTCAGAATGTAACTTAAGGGAAGATAACGAGGAAGAGAGTCTGGAGAAAAAAACCCAATTATCAACATTGTCAAATGTGGCTGAATGGCCAATCAGGCTTTGGAATGAAAGCGTTTATAATAAATACCATCTATCTTCTGAGTAGTAAAAGAAGCAGGAATGTGGAGGGCTGGACAGTGTAATTTTTAAGAGAGAAGAAAGATTCATAAAAAAATGGAGACAATTTTAAGTTGTCATTGGAAGAGATAAAAAAATTTATAAAGAGATTTGAGGTCTCAAAAGAAGCAGGCAATCAATATCTGAGTGGACATAAATTTGCAAAATTTTGTGATTTTTTCCAACAAAATCAGTATCTTGTGATGAACTCAAGAGAGGGAGCTAGTTTTCAGGAAAGCATGAGAAATTCATTTGTAGACAATTTTAAAGATTCGTAAACATATGGAAAATAAAATGGAGTCTGCAATAAGATTTGGAAGTTAGTTACACAGAAATAATAGTTTAAGCCAATGGTATAGTAGATATTTATATGTCATAATTTCTATCAGTAAAAAAAATAGGTTATTTTATTTCTTACAGAGAAATAATAACTAATCTAAAACTAGTTTCTATCTCTGTTAAGTGTGGATTCATTTTTGAGAACTTTAAAACTGTCCTATTTTAATCTGAAGAATAATCCTATTACAACCAAATGGTTATCAGAATCCTAAAATTGTAATTAGCAAGAGGATATTCATGAAATTTGCCAGACTTGCAAATGTATGCTTGAGTACAGCAGTTACTGAACCAATATTATGGAAAAATTCTCCCATTCCTGCCTCTCTGTATAAGCAATGCATTATTTGGAAAAAACAACAGCAAACAAAACATGTGCAGGGCTATTATTTACCAGTAGTACATGGGCCACAATTATTTATGATCAATTTCTGTTCTCATTAGTTAAGTGTTTAGGCTGTACTGGTTGTGAAACATTTTAAATGTAACCCTTGCTATATGATAACATTATATTCACTGAACTACTTATATATAACATTTCATTACTTCTAGAATTTTAAATTATAATTGACCCAGACTATTTTATCATTACACAATGCTTCAGGACAAAAAGGAAACATTAGAGCCCCCACTTTAATAATGATTAATCTAAGATACAGTTGCTGCATACTTCTTTGTTACTACTGACATTATGCTCAAATTCAAAGCTTCTTTTAAAAAAATAGTGATGTTGAATATATTCACCTAGGCTAAAAATCACTTCACTTATAAGACAACAGAGTTATCCTTATTAAAATAAAATCCTCCTACCATTTGGTGATTCCATAACATTCTTTAATAATATCCTGAAGGACAGCTCGATAGAAGAGTGATTCAGTAGGCAGCTGAAAAAAATGTAGATAAATATAAGCACAAGAAACAAATAAAAAACATAAATCGAATCAATACTAGAGAGTCAGGAACATAAGTGAATGTTAGAAATCTGACTTTATTGCAAAACATAGAGGAAACTTTTATAATTTTTCCATTCTAAGTTAAATTGTTACCCTGAGGCTAATACTGAGGAAGCAATTCTGCATGAAAATAGAAGAAACTATAAAAGAAATGGTAGTGAATGGGGGAAGACACAGCACAATCAAACAAAAATGAGCTAATGTCCCAAATGCAGTGCATTCAGTTAAAAATGTAGAAATAAACTTTCATGACCAGCAAGATCAGCTCTGGAGCCAAAAAGAGAGCAGTAAGGTAGAATACGTGCAAAAGAGAAGTGAACATGGATTTGTCCTAATGGTGGTGGAACAGAGATCATATCACCTAGGATTCACACCCAGAAGGAGAAGATACTATTGTAAGTAAGGACATGCTAAAAGTATGTCTGAGGTCTAAAAGATCATAGCATTGGCTACTGTAGAATTGAAAAGGGCATGTCTTTTTGTCCCTCAGGAAGGATATAGGATTAGGTATCCATGAAGGTTTTCCAAAGCAAAGAAGATATGGATGAAGAGAAGGGCCTCAGGGAAGCATGATAGTTTTGAAAAAGTATAAAAGAAAACACTTCACTGAAACAAGGGAAGGGGGCACTTAAACTAAGAAACTACAAAAGTCGCCCAAACTCTATCCACATCCCCACAGAACTCTTAATGACAGTGTAAATAAATCCAATACAAAATAATATCAGCAACAGTCCTGCTTCCATGCAGTTTCTAACGAAAAAAAAGGGGGGGGGGAAGAAAAATGAGCCAGAGTGGAGGGAGGCCAACAATATTGAATGGTCCTGAGAAGGCTAATAAGGTGAAAACCCCAAACTGTGCAATGACTGGTAGTTTTAAAGACAGAGTTCAGTACACTGTACAAATTCCCTGAGTCAAACTTCTTTCGCTTTTCCTTCAGAGCACAACATTGTTATTTTCGTCTGTTTTCAACTAGAATATGTTTGGATTCAGACGGAGTCTAGCATAAAATACAATTTTGCCTGTGTGCTCAGATAGAAAACTTACTCTACTGCTCCTCTCCCCATCTGACCTCAAGTTCCTACACTGTGGGCCCCAGGTGCTGAGGCTACAAAAAAACACAAGTTGGGAGCTGAGGGTGAACCATTATTTCTTGCATCTTCACCTAATGGCACTGACTTCTTAAATCACTGGAGAATGTCTGACTTGCAGGATTTTGACAGAGCACTTGGAAAGGGCACGTGTTATATCCTTCCAAGATGGTGGGGATAGTGGGGAGGGTGATTCTAGTCCGAAATGGTGTTAGGAATACCAAAGTCCCCAGTTCAGCTCCTAAAATAATGCACTGAAAGCAGACATACTTGAATACTCATAAGAAATTTGTAACCTTCAAAAGGTATACTTCTTAAATAAAATCTCTTTCTAAATGCAACGCCTTGACGTAAGACAAACTCTGATTTGTAAACTTTCTTTCTAGAAGACTGCTCCAAAACATATCATTCAAAATTTTCCATCTCTGCACATATTTTTCATTTGGCATTTTTTTCATTTTGAGTAATTCTTTTTGTAGTACCAAAAATCTCTATCATCCATCCCTTCCTTCTCCCCATATCCCTTCAGTTTTCTCACAAAAATGCTGAAATCCTCTTTCATATATTGACACCTATTTTTCTATTGACATTTAAGGCATTTTTAGAAATATATTATTACATGAAGTAAAATATTAGTATTATAAATGGTTTATAAAGTTCTTAACTTTTTATTTAGTTAGCTATACAATAAACAGGAACTTTAATTTTACATGAATTTTCTATGAAACTTCCAAAAATAGTTGAGCTGGTATTTGAACTGAAGAAGCCTAGCTCTGATGTCCACATATAAAGCCATGATGCTATATGGCCTCTTGGACACTTGGGCAGGGATGGTGTCATTAGTTTTTATTCAATACTTCAGTCAGGAAAAAAAATCTTAAAAATAAAGCTTTCCATACCTATGCCTTTGAGAAAAATTATATAAACGGTATCAAGGTAATTTAGAAAATAATGTATATTTATATTGTTATTACAAACTGGTTAAAGATGACAAAAAAAACCCAAGAAATGCATTTAAACAAGAGATCATACAGAAATGCAATGCACAGAGAAATAAAAACAGGATAGAATAAATCATCATTCCTTAGTTATCCTGAATAAATAAGAGCCTTACAGCTGTTCGCTAAGAGAAAGGGAAGAGAGTTATGAAGTGCCTTCAAACGTGCATTCCTTGGATAACTGGGTCTATCCATCCTGGTAAATACAGATGGAGGCATGTGGGAAGGGAGTCAACATCTCCCCAGCACCCTGTGTCTGACAATTCCAAGAATAAACTGGATGTGGCTCAGAGTTTACTTTCTCTCCTTCACAAATGATAAATCAACCTAACACTTTAATGCATCTTAAATCAGAGGGAGCAAAAAGCACACGCTTAAAGTATTTATCTTAGGCATGAATTTTACAGGTCTAGTGGAGACGGCACTAAGCTGGAAGTCAGTACTCTGCAATTAATTAAGGGAGGTAGAATGCACTATTAAACTTCTGCTGTGTATCATGTTCTCATGTAAGTTTGGGATAATACCCAACTTATAAGATTGACTGTAAACATGAATAAGCACTTGGGAAACTGAAAAACACCACAAAATGCACAGGGACATTATGATGAAGGCTCTTTTCTCTTCCAGATCCTAGGGAACCACAAGGCTTATAAGCAGTACAACTGCAAACCAGCAGTTTGAGACGAAAGCCCACATACCTCAACAATATGCCCTAATGCCTTTAAAAAAATCAGCTTTTACCAATTTTTAGATAGGAACAACAAATATATTTAAGAAAAAAAGTTCTTAGCATTGAGCCTGGGCCAGAGTAAGCACTCAGTATATATTTGTTGCTATTATCATTTTAAATTATAATTATTTTAAAAAATTCAAATTGACATATTAATGTTCCTTGAAAAGAAGCAAAAAGAGATTTCTAACATTTAGGTCCAACAAGAAAAATCCTGTGAAAAGCTTAAAAAGAACAGCTAAAAAAACTTTTAGAAATTCCTAATATGTTTCATCAATCATAAAATAGAGAATAAGGCAATTTTATGGATATTTTGGGGGATATATTTAACTTCTGTTTATATGTGCAAGTCCATTTGGCTATTTCAACTAATGACCAATCAAATTAATAAGGAAAAAAGTTAAAAAACAAACAAACAAAAAAAACCAACAAAAAAACAATGCAGGTCTGTGTTTTGGACTGTAGTTAAAAAATAAATTGAATGCTATACTGTGTTTATCTTTGCTCCAACTAAGCCCATAAGAGTCTGATAGTCAGCAATAGCAGTCTTTGGAAATATTCATAGACTGTTTAGTGTATTATGAAGAAATGACACATTAGTACAAGAATATAATGTGGACATTTTCTTAAAAGTTCAATTTCCTTTTTCTGGAAGTTCACTTCTCTTTTAAAGAGAAACTTCTAGAAAATGTACAAATTTGAATATGAAGAGGTGACAAGAAGACTCAGGTTTTAAGTTCATCAGCAGGTCAAGTAAGAAGAGTACTTTAAGAAAACTATCCTGTCCATCTGCTGTATTAGAGTAAACACTCGTACTTACCCCTTGGCCAACCGCAACCCGTTCCAATGCCTTTAGAGAAAAAATAAGGAGAAAAAAGTAAGACAAAGACTGCTGGTATATTTAGTCTTATCTTATAAGACTTATAAACACACTGTATAAAGGCTTATAAAAGTGACATTTAAAAAGATTAATTAAGTGATAATGTGTAAGTTTACACATTTACAAGTGTTAATATCATTGAGGAATGTTAACCAGTATAGTTGTATACTCTAGGGTTGATTTATAATAGATGTGTGTCATGTACACAAACACATACACACCCAATTGTATATACTCCTTGAATTTTAGAAAGAATAAGAAAACGAAAGAAATAAAAGAACATGGTCTTGGCTCACTTTTAGCTGTTTAGCTGAAACAATCAAATCAATCCAAATCTATTATTATATGTGTGTATATAATAAACATGTTTATATACTACTTCTAAGTGTATTCTCTTCTAATTTTTTATAAACATATAGTTACCTTTTATTATACAAGGTTTTATTGAACAGATTATAGCTGAAAATTTAGTTTAGAATAGTATGTATAGTTTTGGTTGGCCTGGTCTACAAATTCAAATCAAAGTCACATATGATCAAGTGCCCAAAAGAGGAAGAATACATATTTTTACAATTTTCTACATAGCTGGTTTTACATTTATATTTATTTAAGATCCAGATGATTTTACAAAGTATTTCCTCATATTTCCAGTAAATATGCATAACCCAACATATATAAAAGATACATCTGAAAGATTTATCATAGTTTCAGTATGGAATAAATGCTTCTAAAACTTCCATTTTTAAGAGACATACATTTCTACATTTATGAAGTTTTATAACTGAATTACATTAATATTTCAATATTTACCTTTATTTTTAAAATTTTAATTAGAAAATATTTCAAAATAGAGTAGTAAAATATAATAGATCTACATAGGGGCGCCTGGGTGGCGCAGTCGGTTAAGCGTCCGACTTCAGCCAGGTCACGATCTCGCGGTCCGTGAGTTCGAGCCGCGGTCCGTGAGTTCGAGCCCCGCGTCGGGCTCTGGGCTGATGGCTCAGAACCTGGAGCCTGTTTCCGATTCTGTGTCTCCCTCTCTCTCTGCCCCTCCCCCGTTCATGCTCTGTCTCTCTCCCAAAAATAAATAAACGTTGAAAAAAAAAAATTTAAAAAAAAAAATAATAATAGATCTACATATACTTCCTATTCAATTTTAGAATACCCATGTTTGCTTCAGGTTGCTATTCTTCATTAATAATAACTGTTAGATATAGCTGAATCACATACTTTTAAAACTGAAAGACAATTTACAGATTATCCTGTGTAAGTACAATTTTTGCAGAGGCACAAGTTCACTGGCAAGGTAAAATAAGTTGCCATAGTTGTATAGCTAGTTAGCAAGTGAGCAGGAAGTAAAAGCTTGTTCTTTGAACCTTACCTTCACCTGCCCTCATACCATTAAGATTTAGTGGGAAAATGAGTTCACTGTATATAAGAAGTTGCTTCGCAGAAATTATTTGAAGAAAAAATTTATAATTCTCCAAAGACTTGAACGATACCTTCACCTAACATCTAGAGCCAGAGTTTTAGGAATACAGGAGCAAATTATTATATAATTTTCATATTAAATTAAATAGCAACAGGCCCAGAATAAGTTTATTACTGAAGAAAACATTGATTTTCTTTTACAGTACTGTCTGTGCTCATTTCAGATTAGATTTTTGTGTTACAGCTTTGGCTAACAGGCTGAACTGAATAAAGAAACATGGGTTTTTAATAATAAATTGTTTCGTGTTGATAAAAGTGTCTACTTTTAGATAAGAATAACTAGTTAAAAGTAGTCAATACCAAGACTACTTTTAGTATGTGTTGCTGATGACGGACTTTAGAAATACAAATGATAAATTTTGGTTACATAATAAAAGATAACCAGGTAGGTGATAAGAAGTTTCTTGCAAACATTAGTATTTTTCTTGGCCAATAAATAAAGATAATGAAGAAAATATATACCAAGTGTTAATCGAAAATATTTTGCAGTTTTATCAGGCTTAAAGTATGCTGACATGATTGTGCTAATCTAATTAAAGTTTATCTCTGGTTAGTACCCTTAACAATTTTTCAAAGCATCACCAGAAAGTTCTCCTTTCTCGATCTCTTTTTTTTTTTAACCCCTGTAACTTTGATTATTTGTGGAAAAGGTCAGTTATGGAGTAAAATACAATTAACAAAAAATACATCAAAAAAATGTTCCTTAGCAACCAAAAAAGAAGCCAAGGTAGTCAGGGACTTCAATGGAGCCAAGGAGAGGGGCATTCCATAGGAAGCTCACATTGGGCAGAGAAAGTTATTAAGTGCAGTGTGGTCTATACATTAAATATTCTAAAATTTATTTTTCAAAACCTCTTCTTTATGTTTCTTTGAAAGTTTATTTTTATAACAAACATTTTTGTTTTGTGGGTACCATATATTCTTTTATCTCTGTAAGGGATATTAATAGTTATTTTATATTATTTTATTTTGTATAGTCTCCATTTCCTCCAAGTTGCTTTTCTTCAGTTTTTCTGATCTCTGTTCTTTCATGTTAGATTTTCCTTATACATCTAGTGATCCTTGGCTGTCTGTTGATAATTAAAATGGGGGTATTGTAAATGTGATTAGAAGTACTGTGCTTATGAGTGAGGACTGTTACTTGTGGGCTTTATCATAAAGGTGACATGTGTCCTGCTTTATTGTAAAATCCCTGATGCCAGCATCATTAGGTCTTTTTTCTTAGGTTAGTCAGATTCCCTAATTTCTTGCCTGAAGGGTATAATCCTGGCTGCTGCATTCTGAGAACTAAGTCATTTCAAGAATTACTTGTCACTATAACATGACCCCGAATAAACATTACTAGCAGATATAGTGAAAGAACAAGATAATTTCCAAGAAAAGCATTTTAAGAGGACTTTAAAAATTATTATTTGAGCATAAATAGATTTCTATGATAATACTAGGATCTGTGACCTAGAACACTGGTGTGCTATTTTTTATATTGCTGTATAAACTGGCAGAGAAATAATGGTCATAGAATAATTAATTTATCTTGGGGTTGGACATCAAACACATTATTTAATCAACTATATTTGAAATTTCTAATGACAAAAATAACTTAGATGTTTTAATGTGCACCTATTCTTTATAAACTAACATAACACCATGAACAGAGAATACCACAGGTTAAAGTGTTCTAGGTGTAAGGACACAAGCCAAATAAGGCATATTAAAGGCTTTATTTAATTAGATAGTTACTTCCAGGTACCTTATTAATATCTTTCCCATTCTATAAAAAATTAGGAGGGGCGCCTGGGTGGCTCAGTCGGTTAAGCGTCTGACTTCAGCTCAGGTCATGGTCTCACGGTTTGTGGGTTGGAGCCCCGCATTGGGCTCTGTGCTGACAGCTCAGAGCCTGGAGCCTGCTTTGGATTCTGTGTCTCCCTCTCTCTCTGCCCCTCCCCCACCCATACTCTGTCTCACTCTCTCTCAAGAATAAACATTAAAAAAAAAATTAGTAGACCAAATGATCTACTATAAACACATACAAACATACCACAGAACTGTGAATAAAGCGCTGAACTAATTCGGTGTTTAATACTTCATAGCTGGTACATTTTATATGGTAATTAAAGTAATTATATATAAACAATTATATGTAAAAAAGTATAACTATAAATTGTTACCACACTGCATGTAAAGTAGATAATGCTGGAAGGGCAAGTCATTTTTTAATCAAAATTTGCAATGCACAAAAGCATTAATAATGATGCTCTGCAAAACTTGGCATTTAATTCATGATATCAGCCAACAATAATAAATTCTGTAACATCTGGATAAAGTTCTTAGTCCAGAAAAAAATATAATCATACCAAACATGCTGACATTCTGGCATTACGACCACAGCACCATCTCTCTTCCTTTAAATAATGGCACATTGGAAATCCCCACTTGTCTTGGGTGCTTTCTGCAGATGGAGGAAAAATATGGATTATTTAAATAAGATTCTTCCTCTTTCAGTTAAAGTAAACAATCTATTGAGAAAGAAAAGCAGTTATTGAGAGAGTCAAACAGTAGTTAAACATGGAGGTAGTAATGTTTAACAGTTCATTCCAATCTGTTAATTGAAAGCATATTAATGTTATGAAAGTGGTATTTTCAACAACAGCTGTTTTGTGTTTAAGCTCTAGGTCTGATACTAACCAATTTGCCAAAATTATTTTTTCTAAGATTTAGCAAGAGCAATTTAAAATGGAAGTACTCTTTATGTTCAGTGTAACTATAGGAAATAAGTAATGAGATTCTTGCCATTTATTGCTGACTTGACTTTCTAAAAAAAAAATGATTTATTAAATGAAATTTGGCAATTTATTATAGAACAATATTAATTCATCCCTAACAATGATGAAGCATCAATTATTTTTTCAGCCACTATATTCACTTTCCAGAAAAAGAACAGCTGTATAAGCTCTTCTTTCTTCCTTGTATTAACAGGCTGCAATATTTTCAATTGTGATTCAGTTTGGCTCAATTGCATATATGGTTTAAGTAACAACAACAAAAATCAACATTCACGGTTTAATCACACATATCTTTTTCCCAACTCACTTACAGAGTTGTGTACATGATTTGCTGATGTTCAAACCCTTAATGCAAAACTATTAATTACACAGGGGTTTTGAAAAGGAAAACAAATGAGTTTCTTTTTTAAATTGAAGCCTGGAAAATAAGAGCTTAAATTTTATCAAGACTATGACAATTAAAAGAAAAATAAGAAAAATATAAATTTTCTATTAGGTTAAAAAGTAAAAATAGAATTAAAACTTTGAAAACATAAAAAACTCTTTAAAAGAAAATACTGTTGAAGTAGATTCAACTAAATACATTTCTCTGCTATAAAGGATCAGATGACTTTTGATTAAAACAGAGAAAGTTTAAATTTCATGAAGATCATAAGCCTGTGAAAGTGGTTTCCTTCTGTTCATAAATTAAGATTTATGATACACCTTACTGATAATCAGATGGAAGATATGGACCTTCCTCTGGGAATATAAATAATAATAATGCTAGTGTTTATACAGCACTTAATATTGTGAGGCACTATTGTAACTGCTTTAAATGTATTAACTACTTTTAGTCCCTACAGCAATTCTATGAGGTAGGTACAGTACTATATGCATGGTTCAGCTAGGGAAACTAAGCGCACACAGGTTAAGTAAACTGCCTAAGTTGCAAAATATAGCACATGGTGAGGTAGGATTTAAACCTAGGCAATCGGGACTCCAGAGGCCATGCTCTTAACCACCAAGCTATATAAACAACTTCAATTACAAATGCATAGGACTTGTGGAGCCCTTGAAGCCTATCCAGGTCCTGGGGATCCTTGGACTACTTCCTCTATTTCCTAGATGACCTGAAATAGCAAGTTGAGTTTTATTTAAGGTTTTACAATTTTACTGAGATGTGATTACTGCTAAATGAAAGAATAACTGTAAAGTTTTTTTTTTCTTATAACCAAAAAGAGAAATATCTAGAGCTTACTGTAAAGGGTAAGGGGCTAGAGAGATGGGTTTGTGCTATTTTATTAAGAATAGTTAGGAAACATGCTAACCAATAAAATAGTTGGGTCTTGCCTGTCGCCCCCCTCCATCCCACATCCATTCTCTTCTTGTAGACAGGAATAGAGATTAAAGGCATGATGGGATTAGTCCTGGCAGTCTTTAGAAAGACAGTGGTGAAGCTGTGAGTGTGTGGTAGGGGGAAGAGAGGGGTGGGAATTATTCAGAAGAATGCAGAGTTTTGGGATTCCCAATTGATTTCTAGTAATAAAGGGAAGATGAAGGCAGGGATACATAGGATTCCTGGTATCCCTCTCTATTTTAGATGACACAAACATGGAAGCCAGCAGAAAAGACTTCGGAACACATGGGGCTGTCATTAGAAAAATAGAGGCTAGTAAAAGATGGTCTTACTTCACACATGTTCACTAATTTGTGCTGATGAAGGTGATGAGAGTAGAGAAAGGTTATGGTGTTCCTTAGGGCTCATAAACCTACTCTTTACTCCCACAATAAAGGCCTATATAGAAGGGTAATTTTTGTGTATAAGAGAGCTTCCTCTCCAACCCTACATTAACTGTAGTGGGAGAAGGACAGTCTTACTCAATGTATATGGCTCCCTGAATCCCTAGCCAAAACACCTAAGATCCTAGGGCAGTTTATAGGAACTGCCAGCCTTGGCTCAGGGCTATGTGAAATGTCATTAAAGCCTCTCTCCTTTGGACACCTGGTGGTTGTGGAATCTCCTTGAAGTTTTCTGAATCTACATCACAGTTTCCTCTGTGACTGAGGTCATGGTGGCCTCACAGTTCTGCTCATTTTTTAACAAAGTGCAAACAACTGATACAGAGACAAGACACCCTCAAAGTCAAACAAAGCCTTTCATGTACAGGTTCAATATTATCTTTGGAACCTATTTCACCAGTTTCATTCTGACTGCAGTGAAGAATGAAGCTCCCTTCTATGTCCTGAATCAAAGTCACAGAGTTCACTGTTTCTATTGTTATATATTTATCTCCTATTTAACTGTGTTCATAAATTCAGATCTAGTCAAAGTGAGCTTTAACCACCTTTATCAGTTATTTCCCCGGGGATCACTTTTATGCTATCTTTAAATGATAGTTTTGGAATAGATGAAGTCTCCTTTTTTTTTTTTTTTTTTTTTTTTTTTTTTTTTTTTCATCTATCCCATTTCTTCTCTGTTGGCTTTAGAAATCCATGCATCTCATAAAAGTAGAGATTCTACTAATTTTTCCTTCTTATGTTAATAATATTACTATCTACTTAACTAAACAAGTTTGAACTTTAGAACCATCTTCTATTATTCTTTCCTTTAATCCCCCAGTTCTCTTAGTTATATCCTTAAACATATCCTCTTAATTATACCTTCTTTTCATTTTCAGTCTTCATTAGCTTTTGACTAGGTAAATGTAATACCTACTAATTTTTTTTCTTTTTCCTTTAGTCTTGTCCATCCTTTACATTAAGAGTAACATTATCTTTTTAAAATAGACACATCTAACCATGTTACTCCAACAGCTCTTGCTTCCCTCACCACTAGCATCTATGAGATAAAACCCAGTACTTTTCTTACTGTGAATTTCAGGTGGTTCTGATGCTCCCTCTTTATAACATTCTCTTCCTCTGGTTCCATGATACCATGCTCTCTTATTTTTTTTATTTTTATTTTTTTTTTAATTTTTTTTTCAACGTTTATTTATTTTTGGGACAGAGAGAGACAGAGCATGAACGGGGGAGGGGCAGAGAGAGAGGGAGACACAGAATCGGAAACAGGCTCCAGGCTCTGAGCCATCAGCCCAGAGCCCGACGCGGGGCTCGAACTCGCGGGGCTCGAACTCGCGGGGCTCGAACTCGCGGGGCTCGAACTCACGGACCGCGAGATCGTGACCTGGCTGAAGTCGGACGCCCAACCGACTGCGCCACCCAGGCGCCCCAACCATGCTCTCTTATTTGAGGCCTGATGCTCATCATATCCCCTGACAGTTTGTTATTTTCTGTCTATTAAGTTAGACATAAGGATTAATGCATAAGGATTAATCCTACCTCACCCTTTATACTTTTTTGGGGAAAGATTTTGCAAACTCAAGTGCTTTCAGTTGGTAAATAAGTGTGTGAAGCAGCTAGATACAATAAAATAGGTAATCATCAATTTTCATGGTAACCAAGTATCACATTTGCCCAGTCTTATTGCTATTTAAAGAACAACTGGAGCGTAACACAACTGTCAAAATTGCCAAAAATGGGCCCGTGGGCACTATCAGAGCCAGTGTGCAACCCCTGTTCTATCTGTGTGCTTTCCCTAGGCAGCCTTACCTATACCTCTATTTACACTGACAATTCCTGGATTAATTTCCTAGGTCAGCTATAACAAATTACCATACACTTGGTAGCTTAAAACAACAGAAAGGTATTCTCTCACTGTTCTGGAGGCTAGAAGTCTGAAATCAAGGTATGGGCTGGGCCATGCTCCCTCTGAGGCTGTAGGGAAGAACTTTCCTTGCCCTTTCTTAGGATCTAGTGGTTGCTGACAATCCTTGGCATTTCAGGGCTTGTGGCTGTACCACTGCAGTTTCTGCCTCTGTCGTCCCTCTGGGTCTCTGTGTATCCTCTCCTCTTCTTATGAGGACACTAACTATTGGATTTAGGGTCCACCTTATTCCAGTATGACCTCATGTTAACTAGTTACATCTATAAATACCCTATACCTCAATGAGGTCACATTCTGAGGTTCTGAGTTGACACGACTTTTTGGGAGACACTATTCAACCTACTCCAATTCCTAAATTATATCTTCAACCTCTTCTCTAAGATCTAATTCTAATCACCAATAGCCTAACCACCAACTCCAAATGGATATTTCGTTGGCACTTGATAATCAACATGTCCAAAATCTAAATAACTGAATGACACAAAACCAGATGTCCTAAAGTTTCCTATTTCGGTGACTAGCATCAACATTTACTCATTTACATGAGTCAAAAAGCTCAGGAATCTTTTCACTTTCCCATATATAGCATGTTTTAGAAATTCCAGTTTATTTTTCTCCTAAATGTTCCTCAAATCCATTAATATTCTCTATTTCCACCATCCCAAACTACCTGCACTGCTATGAAAGCCTCTTGATTGGTTACCAACACCCACTCTTGCTCCTTATTTCAGTTTTAATACTGCAAAGTGATATTTTAAAATATAAACTTCATCAGTTCCCTTCCCCGCTTAATAGATCCTTCTTTTCCTTTCAAGATTAAAAACCAAGAAACAGACACTTAACAATAGAGAACAAACTGATGGTCACCAGAGGGGAGATGGGTGGGAGGATAGGTGAAATAGGTGACAGGGATTAAGGAGAGCACTTGTTTTGATGAGCATCAGGTGATGTATGGAAGTGTTGAATCATTATATTGTACACCTGAAACTAATATTACATTGTACGTTAACTAACGGGGATTTTTAACTAGAAACTTAACACAAAAAAAACAAAAAAAACATTAAGACTCTGTTCCTTAACGTGATCTGCTTGTGCCTACCTCTCCAGCTTCATTTCATACCTTGTTCTCTGTTTCAGCCTTTTGTTCCACTTTCAGTTCTCTAAACTGGTAAAATACCTATCTCAAAGCTTTGGAATTTTCTACGGTAAGCCAGAGATTTCCATACTATACCCCATGATTCTCCTACACCTATATCTTGTAAATAGCCCCTTTGTAAGTAAACTCATTTCAAATTATTCCAATGATGCAAACCCTACATCTACTTACTGTTAACTTCCTGACCGACACCCATTTCACTTAGAATAAGACTTGTAATATCCTATGCAGCTCTACGTGATCGATACTCTACACCCAGAGCTATTGCCTCCCTGAGCTCCTCTCCTACTGGTCTTCCTCATGTCCACTCTGGCTTCTTACTATTCGTCAAATATGTCAGTTTATTCCACTTGTGTGGAATGATTTTCCCCCAGCTACTCAGTGACTCACTTACCTTTTTCATGTCTTTGCTAAAATCTCACCTTTTAATGAAGTTTCTCCTGACCCTGTATTTAATTTACTTACTTAGATTGTTTATTATTTATTCTCCTCCTTCTATTCTCATCCAATGTATTCTTTTTTTTTTTTTCATTTTAGACAGAGAGAGAGAGAGAGAGCATGAGTGAGGGAGAGGGGCAGAGGGAGACAGAATCTTAAGCAGTCTCCATGCTGACACAGGGCTTGATCTCATGACCCTGGAATCACAACCTGAGCTGAAATCAAGAGCTGGATGCTCAAATGATTGAGCCACCTAGCCACCCCCGTATCCAATGTATTCTTGATCTGAACTTTTATAACTATTTCCTAAATAGTCTCCCTGTCCCTGATCTAGCTCCATGTCAATCTATCCTCTATATATCCCCAAATCACTACCTTTCAGAAATGTAGATGAGTATATGCAACTCCTTTGCATTAAATCACTACACAAGAGATATTTTTATGGAACAAAACGTATTTTGTTTCCCACTGAATAATATTCTGACACCTCAGAACAGCATTCCTGGCTCTCAATATCTGGTCCTAATTTGCTTTTGACCATATTTTCAGTTTCTAATACCATCACCCTCAACTCATTCTCAGATACACATCTACATGGACTTATTTCACTCAGAAAAAGCCACAGTTTCTGCCTCTATGTTTCTTCTCCAAAAGTTCTCAAAATGTCCTTTCCTATCTCAGTCATTTTTCTAAATGAAGACCAAACATTGCCTCTTTTAAAAAGCTTTCTCTTATCCCTTAGTTATGAAAAATTATTCTCTCTTCTAGTCTTAACAGTATTTGGTTTATACATCCATCATTTATCACTTCTTTCATCCATTTTTTAAAATAATTCACAGTCATAGTTGATTAAGGTCTATGGGCCAGGAATATATCACTCTCAGATATGCATGAAAGTTCTTTGTAATTGCTTCTTAATTCCTCACTAGATCACCAGCTTCCCTAAGGGGAAAGAGAGTGTCTCACTTATCTGACATCATCTAGTGTCTCCTACAGAACTTTGTTGAATTGAATAAAAACAATTAGACAGATGAACCAGTATTATATACATGCCCTCATTATATTTTGGAAAAAGAGATATTCTTTTTAAGTTTCTTTAAACCTAAATGAAATTTGAGTGGAATGATTTTATCTGGGAAAAAGAAACAGGTGTTATGCTTTTAAATATATAAATTTTTGTCACCTAAGTTAATAATCTTAATTTACATTACACCTCCCTAAATAGAGGGTTTTAGAATCTTATTTAAAATCACAATAACCATTACTGAAATACATAAAAGGTTGGGGGGTAGGATAGAAAAAAACATACGGGCCTTTTCCGAGAGACTATGGTACTCAACAAGAATCACTCGCAGGGTGGCAGAATGATCGTCAACAACACTGAGAGCATCCTAATGTTTTAATACTGTGTGGAACTTACATTCAAAGACATGAAGAAGGTGCCTGTGGCCTTCAAAGAGACTAAGAAGTCCTTCATGGTGCTGTTTTATCTGATGAAGGACTGTGAGATCAAGCAGACTGTGTTTGGTGCAAACTACAAGAGGACAGTGAAGGCTGGAGCAGGAGGTGGCTGGGAAGGCTCTGCGACACACAAGTTGACCTTTATGGTAGGGAGTGCCATCATGTTTGGACAACAGATACTGCAAGTGGCATCTCAAGCCTCCCAAGGTGAAGCCCCCAAAATAGAGTCTATGGGTATTCCTTACATGCTCAGTGGGACCTAGGTCTTTCCCCTGTCAATGTAATGTATCCACTGCCCCCAGTTGAGGTTCTAGGACCTCCTATGATGGATGGGGTCATGGGTTATGTGCCCCATCCTAGGCCCATGGAACCTCCAGTCAGCATCCCTGAAGTCCCCTCCACTCCTGGAGCTGAAGGTAAAGCTGCAGAAGCGGCTACCAGAGACTATTACAATCTGGGTAACCCACATGATGTCTACACTCCCACGAACCAGCTTCGGCCACCTTCCTACTACCCGTCTCCCCATGGAAGAAGAACCAGCATACCCTTCCTGCTCCTGCCTCCCACTCCTGCTCACTCTTCCCTACCCTTCCTTCCCCTTGGGACTGAGAGGTGACGGAAGGGCCTTGTTCTTCCTTCAGGTCTGATTATAAACCACTTCCTAGGGACTGGTGTTGAGGGAAAGGGGGCCCCTGACTCGGGAGCCATGCCTCCCAGCTTCTCAAGCTAGCCCAGAGCCCACGGCGCTGCTTGGATGCACTTCCCTCTCACCATCCCTGGTGCTCTCCTCAGGAGCATGGGTGATCATCTCGTTCCTGTCTTGCTCTGGTAGCTTCTACTCACAGAGGGACTTTCTGGCCACCTTGTCTACTCAGTACAGCTCCCTTGTTTGAGAATCTACGTTATATTCAGCCTTGTGAGCTCCCCCAGATCAGCCTCATATGTCTTCCTGAGGGCCTCTGCCAGGCCCCCTTCACATTCCCTCCACTTTGGTCTGTGCCTAACCGTGAAAGGTCACCTTTTCAGTGGACTGTCAGCCCTCATTCCTATCCCAGCCTGTCTCCAGCCCGTCACACTCACCTTCCCCTCCCTGACCTGTCCTTGGTCATCTGTTGCCACTGTATTGTGACTTTTGGAACTTTAACACGAGCTTCCAGGTGGTGGGTGCCATCAATGCCAGGCCGCAGCAACAGGGAGGGAGCCCACTGCTTCCCTCCTAGTGCTTTTGGCATTTGTTTCTCTTTGCCTTCTTGCTTTTCCCTCTAGAAGGAACTTCCCAGACTGGAACTGGAGAATGAATGTTCATCCCACTATGACATCTGAGGACTGTTGGATGGGCTGGAACAAAGGCTCCTGACCCCTGGGGCCTGGCCTGAGCCTGTGTGCTGACCATGGCCTCTTACCAGCCCCTCACCCTGACCTCTTCCCTTTAAGTTTCATGTCTAATTGGTGATATACCCCCTAGAGGCACTAAAATTTGCTCTCATTTGCTTCTGGACTGGCCGTGAAGTGAGGAGATGGTTATTTAAAGAGAATTGCGTTTATTGACAAAACAACCAGTTAATATACTAATGTGAAATAAGCCCTGTTTGCACCTTGATGTGTTTACACATCAAGTAGTAAAATGCGTAGTAAAATGAAGTGACTGGGCGGTGGGGGGGGGGGGGGGGGGGGGGGGGGGGATACATAAGGTAAGTGATTTTTGAAAAATTGTGCTTTGATACCTCACCCTCCTCTCTCCTGTGTAGTTTCTTTTACTGTTCATAAACCTGACATTACATTTCTACTTATTTGTTTTCCAGTTGCCTGATGCCTTATTAGAATATAAGCTTGATAAGGGCGGGGGCTTTGTTTTGTTCAATCTTGTATCCCTAGTACTTAGGATAATGACTAGCATGTGATAGACACCCAATAAGTATTTCTCATATGAATGAAAAAAAATTACAAAATCCTGGAGTAAACCAAACTAAAACTGGGCAAGATTAACATGACGACCTGAAACAACAACATATAAATGAAGATACAATTTACACCCCAGAGAGGAGAAATTGACATCCTAAAGACATCAATTCTCTCCATAATGATCTTTAAATTCAATGCACGACAATTAAAATCCCAACAGATTTTTTCATGGATCCTAACAATCTAATTTAAAACCCATTCAATACATGAATCATCTAAATCAGCTTTTACTTTGAATTTGGTCAGCAAAGTTTATTATGCCCATATATTATAAAGAAAATGAATAATTTTCAAATCATTTTTTCTAAGCACAAAACATTTTGCAACTTTCCATATAAATTTGCATTATAAACTACACATACTTTAATCCTAAATGAAAGACTTAAGTAAATTTTTCTACTTAAGCCTTATTAAATGTTTGATGTGATCAGCATTTTGATTCTCCTTGAGCAAGCTGTTTGGATAAATAATTTCTTCTCCAAACATTGAAGTGGCTCCAAATTGCTAATATTTCATATGTACTTTTAATATTAACTATCTCCTTCCTATGTTTTTTTTTTTTTGCATCCATACTACAAATATGACAAAGAGTCTAGTAAAATATGAAACAAAGATGCCTATTGTTTGACTTTCCTAGCTGGTATTGTTCATGGAGTGTGCACTGCCATGCCATCTGTAATTGACAACCCCAGACAATGGCTGGACTGCTGTCATCAATCCTTGCTTAACTAAAATCTCTTCTTTTGTGGAACTCATTCAGTAATCCTGTACTTGGTCTCTAAAATGAGTAAAATTGTATTTGTATGTCTTTTCGTTGAGAGAGCAATTAAGTAAAATTGTCACTTTTAAAAATACATAAAGTCAAACCCTTTTGAAAGAGAAAATGCCATGAGGTTAGCTAAGAAAACTCTGAAAAAAATGAGAACTTTGGGGGACTTCCTCTAGCAGATTTCAAAGGTTCCAATAAACTATATTAATGAAGGAAGAATAGTATTATCAGACGAATCAACCGATGAAGGGACTAGAAGAGAACTCATAAACGCATTATACGATAAAGGTGTCATTTTATATCAGTGTGGCAAAGCATGGATTATTCAATAAATAGCATTTAGAAAACTATAAGATTACAGACATTTCTTGAATCATACATACAAAATAAACCCAGATAGATTATGGAACTAGGTAAAACAAAAACTATAACTATAAAAGAGGAGAAAATTATAAAACAAATGTTAACCAATACAGGAGAAGCTAAGTAGAATATGATATGTCCATTCCATGGAATACTTTGTAGTGTGTAAAACAAATGTATGAAAAGAGCTCCAAGATATGTTGCTAAGTAAAAGGGCAAAACTATATTGTTCTTCTTCTTCTTTTTTTTAATCACACCTTCTTGCTCGTCTTTCTTATCTTCCCAATCTCCTCTGGAATGTGCTTCGGTTCAGTCTCTGTACTTCTTCATCATTTCTATTCCCTAAGTGATCTCATTCAGACTGTATGTTAATAACTCGCAAATTTTTTACATTTGACCCATATTTGTCCTCAGGAATCCAGAATTATCTATCCAATTCATAACGCAACTTCTGCACTTGAATTTCTAAGAGGCATGTCAAACTCAACCTATCCCAAACAACTTCCCTCTCAATTTTACTCTTTCTGCAGTCATATCCAGTTCACTAAATGACAACTCCACCTTTCCACTGTTTCAGTTCAAATACTTTTGAGGTATGCCCTTTTTTCCATTCTTTTCCACACCTCCACTGTCAATAATTCTGCTAACAATACTTTAAAACTATATCCAAAATTTAATAATTTCTTCCTAATCTTCCCCTCTGACCTAAACCACCATTATCTCTCACCTAGTTTATTGCTCACCTGAATTATAGCTTCCTAAATGATCTCTGTGCTTTGGCCTTTAACTATGTTTCAGTCGTATTGGTCTTTTTGGTGTTCCTTGAAGTAGCAAGCAAGCTCCTGCCTTGGTCTTTTTACCTCTGTTCCCTCTGCCTGGAACACTCTTCCTCCAAGATAACTGCATGGTTTCCTCCATCATCTTTCAACCGCCTACATACATGTTATCTTAAAAAAGCCTTCCCTGGCTACTCTATATAAAATACCATCCCTCCTCATCCCGCTCTTACTTTGCTTTAATTTTCTTAATAGCACTTATCACCATCTGATATACAATATATATATATTAAATGACATGCAAGCAGGAGCTTTTTTTCCCTTTCAATCTCTGTAGCTTCCAGAAAAGTACATGGCACACTGTAGACACACAATAAATATTTGTGGAGAGAATGGATAGATGAATGGATGAATGATTACATTCAAATGATTCCTTTCCTCAAAAAAAACCAAGATATTTGTACATATGTATATGTATCTGTCCATGTACAAATACAGAAACATGAGAAGGGATTATCATTGTGGGTAGTGACACTGAACAAAGACTTTCACTTTTTACTACATATTTGTATACTTTTAGAATTTGTTTTATAATGATAATATATTTATGTACTACTGATGCTAAAAGGTAAATATATAAAAAATGTTGCTTAATATTTTGAATGCATTCAGTTCAATTATTAAGCTTATTTTTTGTGTGACATGCATCTATATCATTTTTATAATGTTTATAATAAAGATAAAATATAGGTTGATAGGTATCTTAATGTTTTTCACAAAATATTGTTACTTTAACATAGGTTAACTACACATCATTTACCAGCCCTTTTATCTGTTTTTAAATTTAGTTTCTGTTCCATGTCATTCTCTTCAAGGATGGACTAAGACTTCTTAGGCTTTCTTAAAAGTATTCTTCAAGGGAATCTGAAGACTTGCCATGTAGAGACTGATACACTCTCAAGTAAAGATAATGTTTGGATTTTAGTTGTAAAAATTTAGGAACTTATTTCTAACAGAGTTTTATAGGTTGAAATTAGCATAGAGGCTATAGGACAATTCTATGAAAATTTCTTGATTTTCATTTCAAATTTTAAATGAGGTTAAGTGAATATGGTATTCAAAATATTACCTAAAGATAAAAGACATATTAAAATTATATTAAACTTCCCAGATTTCTTTTTTTTTGTAGATGTTCTATTTTTTAAAATCAAATTTGTTGTTAAATTGGTTTCTGTACAACACCCAGCGCTCATCCCAACAGGTGCCCTCCTCAATGACCATCACCCCCTTTCCCTTCCTCCCCACCCCCCATCAACCCTCAGTTTGTTCTCAGTATTTAAGAGTCTCTTGTGGTTTGCCTCCTTCGCTCTCTGTAACTTTTTTTCTCCCCATCCCCTCCCCCCCAGTCTTCTGTTGAGTTGCTCAGAATCCACATATGAGTGAAAATATATGGTATCTGTCTTTCTCTGCCTGACTTATTTCACTTAGCATAACACTCTGCAGTTCCATCCACGTTGCTACAAAAGGCCATATTTCATTCTTTCTCATTACCAAGTAGTATTCCATTGTA